ATTTATACCTCATGTTTTCTTTGGTATCTGATATAATATCAAGAATTACGTGTTTTATTTTCGTTATTTGTTTGTCTACGGTTCTTTTTTCATAATCTTCATATTTTTCAATTACTAATAGCAACCATCTGCTGGCAAACTGTCGACGGCTATCTTTTTTGATGGTTTGACTCCCTGACAAGCAAGCTAACTTCGGGTTTGATTCCCTGGCATATGCCAGTACAAATGTACTGTCGAAACGAATGAACGAATTATAAAGATTCGTTTTCATTAGTAACATGGGAAAACGCCCTATTCCACTCTTTTCGATTTAGTTCAGGTAGGATACGCCTTTTCAGCTTAATCAAGAATTCAGAGGAGGCCTGGACATTCGGTATCGGCATCCCATGTTAATGATGTTACTGAGATGCTTCCTTACGCCAACAGAACTTAGCCGGGTTCTTTGATCCAAAGATGAATATGTCAGTACCGTCTGTCTGTCTGATGTGTGTGCGCCACCTTTTTAAAACCCATCTAAGTAGTCATTTACTTTCTCGTGGGTATCACACACAACACGCGTTTTCAATTAGTGATCAGCGAACTGAGCAATATTTTCTGTCCATCATATTTTACTTTCTCGCATGGTGGTAATCATATCCTGCACGCCGCTCATCTGTCTACAGTGACTGATTGCTCATACGATCACTAAAGAAATCCCAAGTATTCTTGGATCCACTGTTTAACCAGCAATAATGCGATAAACAAATAATCGTACACTTTTATTCCCAGAAAACATAAAACGAATAATTTATAACTCGTAATTGCCGGAGAAAGAGTTACGTCCCTTAGTCTTTATATTAAATGCTGTTACTGTACTGGGGCTAATCGTAGGCCTCGTTAGCTAATTATGGCAGTTTCAGAGGTTGGGGTCAACATATGTTGCTAATTATCTTCTATTATTGTTACCTAATTGTGAAGCACTTAAATTCATTTGTCCGCTCCAGATTTCTTCTGAATTTTGCAAGCTTTCGCTTTCATGTCTGCTAATGGATTCACTCATCTGTTTCCCATCCGGTTATTCGTCCACTTATTCCTATTTCTCTCAGAAAGATGCTCAGCTTTTAACTCCTCAAAGACCTGCCTCGACTTCACCGCAAACTGAAATCTAAAAGGCAAAAGTTTGGCTGAAATTGAAAATTAAATAGTTTAGGTATTACAGCCAGCAATTAGATTGCTAGAAATTTACAGAGACACAAGAAATCAGTTTTTGTCAAAATTATGCTATTTTATTTGAGAATTACCAAAACTGGACAGTGCTTTCCTTTTTCCAGTTCTAATCATGCACAGGATCGGTAGCGAATTCATCACTACAAACTCCACTCTCTGTGCTAAGAGGCATCGCAATAATTTATCGTAAAAATACCGGTTCGCGTTACTATCTATTTGAATATAAACAAAGGCTGGAACGCACCAGGCGAGCCAGTGCGATCATGCGTTTTTGCATCAAAACTAAAGTA